AATGTGTGAAAAAACTGGGTTTTTTTTTTGTTTTTTTTTTGTTGCTTTTTACACTTTTCACCTATGAAATGAAAATAGGTAAATATAATGCCAGAATTTAGCAGAATTTGCTGCCCTCTACGATGAAGCAATTTTTTCTTGCTGGTCAAACCGCATCTACAACACATACATTTCTTTCTGTGGCATGGTGAACGTTCCAGCCATAGTTTTAGTTGTTAAAAAACCTGTATGATTTGCCCTTGTTAAAAGAAGAATGGCTTCTGCAGTCGGAAAATACATGAATAAATCAATAAATATGTATACGGTGGATGTTTTTGAGTCTTGAACAGTTGGAAAGCGATTGAATGCTCATACTTTTATTACGGGTTATGTCATTCTGAAAGACAAAAATAAGCTATTCGTGTGTTATATTAATGACACGTCCAACAAACCCCAACAAATGGCAGCAGGGTGGATTACAACCGAAAGACACAAGTGTACATATCAAGATTCAACTTTGTGTGCAATGCACATTTTCACGCGCACAGCTTTATTTGAAATTGAAAATTAGGTTTTTTTGCATATCATGATTTCCTGACACAGAATTCACAGTTCCATTCTCTGTCAGCCATTTTAGTGCAAAAACAATGCCATACATACGCATCAAATATACTAATTCGTACACTTTTGAGTCGACATACTGACATTGTATTAACAAATTTCCATGTTTTGTTAAATGCCTTTTTTTATTCTGATACCAAAAGTTTCCTTCATGTTCAATCATTCAAAAATCATCAAAATAACTATCATCAGTCCCAGCGTATCACCGAATTTGTCCATGACGAATTCTGAATCTAATTTATTCCTACAGGGAAGGGTTATGTGGTCGCATTTGCGACCAGATTTTTTAAGATGCGACAAGGAATTCAACTTTGTCGCGCTCAGTGCGACAAGGTCATTTGATAGCGCGAGTAGATTTTGTAAGCGGCAGGAAGGTGGTTTCCCTCCAAATCCCAATTATTTACAACTTGTACAGCCCAT